GTTTTGTGGAAGTTACTGATAAAGAAATTAAACGAAATTAAAATAAATTCAGTCCTAAAAAACACCAAAGGCTTGTGTAAAAATACTAAAACAATTGTTCGCCTCAGGCTCAGTGATTATCGGGGAATATTCACCTCTTATAAACACACGCCTATATTATATATCACCAACTTTTGGCATTCGTCTAAAGACAAGCACAAATTGAAAATTGGCACTGTCCGTGGCAACAAAGCTACTTAGCTACAGCCCTACAACTCTATAGCTCTACAACTCTACAGCCCTGCGCCTTTACAACTCTACACCTCTACAATGCTACAGCTCTACAGCCCTACAACTCTGCAGTCTTAGAACTCTAGAGCTCTACAACTCTACAGCCCTACAACTCTACAGCCCTACAACTCTACAGCCCTGCGTCTTTACAACTCTACACCTCTACAACGCTACAGCTCTACAGCCCTACAACTCTACAGCTCTACAACTCTACAACTCTAGAGCTCTACAACTCTACAGCCCTGCGCCTTTACAACTCTACACCTCTACAACGCTACAGCTCTACAACTCTTCAGTCTTAGAACTCTAGAACTCTACAGCCCTACAACTCTACAAATCTACAGCTAGATCTAGAGCTCTACAGCTCTAAAACTCTACCGCCCTACAACTCTACAGCCCTATTTTATGGATTTCCTTTGCAAGCTTTAGCTGAACAACATGGGAACCTTTCACTTTTTTCTTTTTGGATGAATGAGTTGGATACTGACTCGAACAAAGAGGACGCCATTCCTTCCCCAATGCGTGATGAGGCAAACCCCCATCTTCTCCTGCTGACTCCAGACTAAGGGACGGACCATTAAATATTTGAGGGGGGGCGGGCAACTTTTCTGTGCACGAATTTTTTTTCACCCCCCAACTGCTTGCAAGAATATTTTTTTCTGCTCCATTCTTTTGCACGATATTTTTTTTAGAGGTGACCTAAAAATTTTTGTCCCGGAAAGTTCGTCGACGGGGGGAAGCATAAATTTTTTCGTAAAACACCAATTTAATGTTTCTGAAGCAATTGCATTACGATTTTAAAAATTTCCCTTAGTTTTTGCTCAATTTTCTTTTCAATAGGTTTGTTGTGCACAATATTTTTTTCTGAATTTTTTCTGTGACCGAATTTTTTTGGTATTTGCCCCCCCCCTTAAATATCTAATGGTCCGTCCCTAAGATTAATTCATACTCTTCGATATTTTCCCAAGACAAGAGTGGCAGCTTGAAAGATGCCCGCGAATATCGTCTTTACATTTTGTCAACATGACATTCTCCACACTCACAAATGACTGCCGCATTCAGATTTTATACGAGTGGAAAATGAACACATGGAAGACATCTTAAAACCGAATCCACATGAAAGCCAAATATTAATGTTCAAGTCACTAAAACTTTCAAGCGAATGCCAAAAGTTGGTGGAATATATAATATAGGCATGCGATTATAATTATTATTAACTCATTAAGCGGCAATGCGCCCGAATGCGCCCTGAGATTGGCAAGGGGGTAAGCGGGAATGCGCCCTAACATGACTCCTTAACTTGCGGGCATGATATTTGAGCACATGTTTATCGGGTTGCCTAGCAACGGATACGAAAATAGAACGTGAAATTCGAGCTTTTCAACAGTGTATCATGCAAGAAAATCGGCCAAAAACTCGCAAAGTTTTTCAAGTTTAAAACCTTAGTTTTTCAAAAATAATGAACAATGGCGAAACTGTTGCAAAGAATGGTTTTATACAGCAAGTTTTAAAAGCGAAGAAAGAAGAGGTTTTTGAATCATTTACAACGAAAATTTGGCATGAAAGGAAAGCGAATGTATTGACGTTTTGGGGCCAAGTTCTTCCATCCGCGAGATTTTCAGCCAAAAAGATGAGGATTTCTCCAAACTTTATTAAAAGTAGAAGTCGGAAATCACAAGAAAGATGAACACGGAACTCAAGTGAGCAGATACGATATTTTTAAGGGTATTTTTGAGTAGAAATATGCGATCAAACACTCACAAAATTCGACCGCATTAAAGTTGGTTGAATCTAGTTTAAAGTTATCTTTTTAGACGAACTGTTTATGCAAATTTGGGCACAATTTCGACTGTTTTCGTAACCCCATTGTTGGTCTTCTTGTTCAAGTTGTTATTTTAGCTAAAGTATGTTTCAAACGACACCAGATTAAATTACTATGTGCGTACGTGCCCTTTTTGGCAAGAATACTTCGAGTATTAAATTACACTAAGTAAGTAGGATACTCCAAAATCACTGTTATATCTATTTTCATCAATTTAGTCTTAAAACGACAACTCGTTTCAGACATATTGTGGTTTAAAATAAGTGTATTGAATTAGTGCGCTTGCTGGCCGCGTGCGAATTTTCAAAAAGTCTGCACTTGAGTTCTAAAGCTTTTAAAACGCTTTTTCTATTGGGTTTTATATCCCCCTAAAACTTTAAATCGATAAAGCAGATAATAATGTTGATGCAACCTCATTTTCTAGTAACTACACGTTGAATCAGAAGGAAACGTTATCAAAAATAGGTCGCGACCGTTGCTTGCAAAATGCTGCTTCTCTCTGAAATGGCTTCCTTTGCGGGAAGCCATGAAATTGAAGTCCTAACAAAAACATAGTTTAGCAGTTCTTTTGGGCCCATAGCTCACTTATTTATCATGAAATCGCTTCACTAGAACATTTTTACTAATGTCTATGGGAAACTTTGTTATTTTCTGAACTAAACGTTTATGGTTTTGAGGTGTTTATTTTAGAAAATAGCACGCGCAACAAAATGGCACTAATGTGGTTTCTCATGTCTGACAAACAACCAAAGATGAAAGTCCTTATTTCACCCTTTTATAGCTATGTTGAATACCTGACTATTAGGTTATCTTTTTCATTTGAGCATACAGATAACATTTCTACACAATTAGTCCTTATGAAAGCTTATTTCAAACTAAAAAAAGCGATTGTTTTTCAGAGCCAGACTTCAAAAGAGAACGCGTGTCTGACATTTTATAGCAGCCTACATTGGCACGCAAAATAATTTTGGCTAAAAACCGTTTCTTTTCAAACAGAAACATGAGAAAATTGAGCTAAAAGGCTTACCTGATGTATGTTTAAAATGTCTTTCTCTTTATGGTGTTTTTCAGTGCTTTGAGTAGAGAAGTGAATAACTTTTGGTTTTGTCACTGCAATTTGCCTTTGAAAATGTCGGTTGTCATTGTCTGTGTTAAAAACACCTCAGAAAATTCGTATTTTCTCACCTTCCCATCCTTGGTTTATATTGAAAATAAATAAATTCTAGTACCATATGTCCTTTTAAATATATTTGAGGTAATTAGAAACTCCAAAGATGAACAAGCACTGTGTTTTGGCTTGAACATTTTGTTGAACTTGAACACTTAGTTACTGTTCTAAATTTCGTGTTGTAAATATCTTGCCCAAAAAAAGCAAATGAGTATTTTTTATAATTTTTGATCGTTTTCTAATTCATATCCCAAAAGATGAAAATTGGTTATAACATAGATATGTACTAATTTAGTAAATGATTTTTTTTTTGGTTTTATATAAATTTATGGAGATATTGCCCCTTTAGGTGATGAGTGACATGAAAAACAAAGTGTCACTGCTTTACAAATAAAAATTCTCATTGAAAAAACTAATGATATATGTAGGTATGCAAAGTCGTTTAAACTAAATTTGGTCAATCATATATCACTAATGTTTGGTTGAAAAGATCAGATTTTTTTATGCAACTGTTTCTGAGATATTGCCATTTTGGTGAAAGCTCTTGAATTCAATCACATATTCGCCATATTGCTTGCGCTTTAGGCGGGTAGAAACATTGTAACAGCTTGCCGCTTAATGAGTTAATAAGAAAGCAATTGTTTATTGATATACCCCGAGTCAAAATATTCAGCAGAGAAATTGACACTTTCCGGTTTCTGACAATGCTCGACCTAATTAGCATATAGCATAAATTTTTACATTTATTTAATATAGCAACTTAATTGCAGAATTGTAATCTTTGTTTATGAAGAGATATAAAGATTGTTACAAGTTTTACAGTTTAAATAAATGCCTGTATTCGCCGATCGATATTTCAAGCCGTTTGCTAATCGATTCAAGATATTCATAACTTGAGCACGCCCCTGCAATGAACATGGAACCACCGGTAAAATGACCAAGCGCGACAGAAAAAATATTTGCGTATTAATTGTAAAAAGGTTCAATAAACAAAAGCAAAATAAAAGTTGACTTTAAAGTTATTTTTCAAGCAATGTTGCTGGGTGAGGGTTTTCAAGAAAAATTACGTTAGCAACGCATGCGTCGTCAATTACAGGAAAATTATCAAACTTTGTAGATGATTTGTGGCTATGCCCATCAAGTGCCCAAATATTTTACGTTTCCTGTTAAAAAAACACAACTCTAAGTTTACAATGGTAGTAATGTGTACTTGGTATAAGGTGCCAAACTTACGAAATTTGCTATTTAATTTGTCTTATAAAGTGTGACTTTTCAAACTAGTAAAAGTGTATCTTTTCAGAAAATTATTTCTCCTCAAATCCTGGATAGATGTGTCTAATTTTTTGTTGTAAGAAACTATAAGCACTGATTGTTAAAATATTTTGATATTTTAGACTCTCACTTGCCTGCTTGCTTCGCGAGAGTCGTACGGAAATCTGCTATTTACGGCAGTTTCAGGCTGCCATTTTGGACCCATCAAGGTGTAAAATATCGATGAGCCAAATTTTACAAAAAAAGCTTTTTAACGCAAACCGATTTCTTTTTTCATACAAGTACCTAAAAGGAAAATTATTGTGAAAAATTTGAAGACTTTCATATTTCCTTCCAGAACTGGGTGCCCGGTTCTTACAGAGACAGCCTCTTAAGTACCTTTCTCTGTTTGATACTTTTACTTTCAGGTTTTTCAGTATGTAGGTTTTGTTCTTCTCTAATTGCTCGACGTTGTCTTCCCAAAGCACGACTTTCATGGGACTTGTAGTGTCCCGGACAAGTACTTCTTGCTTTTTCAGCATCCCTTGATGTTGGGTATTTACAATTTTGACTCCTGAAACCTCTGCTATTTCTGCCTTGACGCTGATCAGCTGTTCGGGAGCCACTTCGTTGAGCGATGCAATGGTATTGGCAAGGCCAGTGATAAGCAGCTTCGAAGAATGTTGGAAATCAATGTCGTCAATAGGAGTTATTTTGGTATACTGATTGAATACAATATCTTTTCCTTTCGATTTGGTATAGTTCGACACTTTCACCAGGCTTTTGGCTTTTTGTCGTCTAGTAAATTCCAAATGTTTATTGGGAGAGAAACTTACCGCACGGACAGGACCATCTTTTTTTTTAACAGTGCAATTGAAATATTCTCTCCCTGAGAATTGCACATCTTTCACAGGTGAGACACCATGAATATAACATTTAATCTCTTCCGATTCTGGAATGGGAAAATTATCATTGTTTATTAAAAGTAGCAGATGATTAAGAGTCAAAATTTTGACAGATTGAACATTGAAGAATATACTGAATAAATATGAAGTACTACAGTAACTGAATAAATCACAGAATTTTAATTTTTTAGTATTGTAACTGAGATAAAATAACATAATTTGTTGTGGAAATAACATGTATACAAGATATTTATATAGTTATTGCAAAATTAAGGTTTACCTTTCATGACAAAACTTTCGTGTGATCACTGTCCTTAAAACGGCCAAAACACCAAATGAGATTTCAAAATTGTGCAGCAGCAACATTTTTAATTTTAGGTACGTTCTCATGTCTATTTAAGATGATGCAGCTGATTGGTCAGTAAATTAGGAGGTTATTACATCAGAAATGCAAAGTTGCAAATTTCTATTTTCTCTCATGCCACCATGTTGTAAACAACAATATCATATTCTATTTATAGTTCTATATGATATATGAATTTATAAAAGTTATTGTCGGAAATGATGTAATAAAAAATGTATTACCAGCCGATCTCGGTGAACGGGCATACTCTGGGAACGAGGCATTGATTAGAGGAAGAGGTTATTTCGCTGGCCTCAGAGTGACAAAACGTAAGAAAGCAACAGTTTTACTAATACTAGCCCTATTCTAAACACCAACTCTAATCCTAACCCTACTCTTGCATGAAGAAAAACGTTTTGATGAAATGTCACTCTGAAGTCAGCCAATTAACCTTTCCCTTGATTAGAGGTGTCGCATTCGATCTGTTCGAGTCCGATATGATTTTTGTTTTATTTTTCATCCGCGATCGAATTTTTGGTGGGTTTCTTTTCGGATCAGTTGGATTGTTTTTATTTGAACTGAATTTAAACATTCAATTCGCGACCTTTCCGTTTAAATAGGGTCCAGGCTCGAAATCTCAGTCCCGCACGGCTAAATATATAAAAAAAACAAAACTGTACATCATTTAGCTTCATATTCAGCTTATTAGAATTCCTAAATTGAAAGCAAGTAAGCAAAACTTAGTAACTTGAGTTGTGTTTCATATTCAGATTTTTTTTTCTTTACAGACAAGTAGATATAAAATGTTAGTTAAAACTTGTACTTTTCATATTTACAATATTTTTCCCGATCGAGTCGGTTTACGATTTTTGAGCATCGGATCGGATTGAGAAATTAGACAAACCCTCGGATTGAGAATGGTCAATCCGATCTGTGCCTCTATGCAATTACAGCTGACTCGTCCCCAGTCGTCTCTGTAAATATGCGAAATGAGGGAGCAATTACAGTATACTACATATGTAGATATTACTTGGTGAAAACCTAACCTCCTCTGCAGGCATCGCCTTTAGATTATCGGGCAAAATTTGCTAGCAGGCAAAAAAGTAAGTACCACAAGATGCCTGTGGAAGAGGCTAGTGAAAACCTTAAAACATCTAGCCTTCATCCTTAGTCTTACAGCCAGTAAGAGGTGTAAAATTTGTCTATCCAAATTGGTAAAAAGACACTACAATGTATGCATGCATATATGATTTTATTTTGGTTTACAATTACAGAGATTACAACAAATGACAATGCAATTACTTTCATACGTACATGTGTGTTGATTGGTGGCAATATTAATTAGCTTCTTGAATGTGTTCCTGTTCACAGATTTTCTTCTATTATTATATAAAGTATAGTGCTTTATAGAGATTTCGAGCACTGATAAAAGTGATAATCTCACATGTGAGATTATTTATGATAATCTCACATGTGAAAATTATCGCTTTTCTGTAAAAATTATCTAGATTAGAGATATCATGTTCAACACTCGAAATAAATCTGGTATTTCCAAGCACCCATGTATTATTCTCTGTTTAATATTATATGTACTATATTTTCCACTCGATGTGAAACAAATATCTTCGTGATAGTTTTGCCAAACATGAAGATGTACAGTATGATTCATTTAGCATTTAATATTGATATTTTGCCATAATTATTGATTTCACCTTGAGACTGTGCTTGCAGGCTACCATCATTACTGTTCATTGAAGAATTATGTTTCTTTTGTTCCAAATGAGTTGGGGCCAAAGTTTGGTTCTTTCCACTCTCCAATAACGTCTTTTGGTGTTGTACCGCATTTGTAATCGCGTTCTCATCCGAACGGGTTGTCGAATTGGCCTGTTGTGTAAAACTTTTTAATCATTTTTTGTTTGATAAAGAAAGATTTGCGAGAAGGCATTTGATGTTGTTTTGCTATTCCATTCAACAGTTTTCGACAGTAACATGTAAATATGCCATTCGCGTCAGAGGTATAGCAGATTCCATCGCATTAGATATACTGTAATGTAATAAATATATCCACATTGTCATAATCATTTTCATTTTTTCATGAAGAGATTTAATTCTGTTAATGCAGCGGTTTATATTACGTCATATCCTATAGAATCTTCTATAGCATTTTAATGTTTTAATAAGATTCGGCAACTACTTAAAAATACAACAATGTAGTGCCAGGGAGTTCGCCACAGTTCCCCCAATTATGGCGATCCCTCATTTTCAAATTCTATAGGACATTTTATTCTACACTACATGTCTTATAGCATAATCTATAGTATTTTCACCTACAGTCTAATATTTTGGAATATATCCTGCTGGCTCATGTTGAAATCACTTTGAACATTCCTTAACTATTCTATAGGATATTCCATAAAAAATTAACTCAAATGTGAAAAATATTGTGACATTAAAATTAAACAACAAGAAGATTGAGAGTTATATTAATTTAATACTAGAAAATACATGCATGCAGAAACCCTCGCCTTGCTGACAAAACCATTGTATTTTCCGAACATGAAGTATCTAAAGTAGTTGTCATGGTAACATGATAATTTTTTAAGAATATTTTTACAAATGAAAATCACCTAAAAATATCACTTTTAATTACAAAATTATCAATTTCCCAACATATATATGTTATGTATGTAATTATATGTAATTTAAGGTAAAATTCAACCACAAACAATTCACAAAACGTTTTAAAGTGTTCTTTATAAAACTAAACTGCCTTTTAACTATTATTTGGCTTTATCGATAAACTTTGAGTTTGCAATAAAATGATTTCAAATTCTCGCTTGCAAATAACTTTGCTTTATCTTTTATTAAAAAAATTCAATATCATAAAGAGAATCATGTACGCATTACGCAAAGGCCGTCGGGTTTTAAAGCCATTATAAAATCAATATTTAAAACAAGCTTACCTTTGTTAACGTCGGCTCACTTCTTTTAGCCGATTCTTTTTTAATTTAATTTAATTGCTTTTCCATCATTGTGTGATATAAACATAAACACATACGCACCCACACAAACGCAAACACAAACACACTAAACTGATGGCTGGGTAACCACAACAGCCTGAAAAGCCAATTACTGTGGGCCCAAAAGATTAAAACAAAAACATATATACAATTAAAACGTCTAAAAACAACAGTTCACTGGTTCGGTTAACGTTCTTGCACTGTTACATTTTGGGCGGATAGTTTTAAATGTTCTTGGATCATCACATTCATATGCTTTCTCCAATGCGGCAAAATAATATCTTTGCATTACTGACTTAAACGTGCCCAGGTTTTCCATACTTAAGTCTAACGTGTCTGTTAAAGTGTTCCAAGTTCTGATTGTTCTAATCCAAAAAGATCTTTTTAAAGTCGTTGTTCTGCATTGCAGTACTTCGCTGTATTGGTGTTGCTAGAAGCTCTTGTGGTTCTCGTTGTTTTCTTACGTAGAACAAAGGACGAGTTTGTTAAGCCATGGATTACTTTGAAAAAGTACACCATATCAAGGTACTCGTGCCAGTAGCAGATTGGAAGTAGTTGGAGAGCCTGCAGTCTGGATGTATAGTCAACAGAACAAGTAAATGGCAGGTTAAGGATGAATTTCGTCGCACGCCGTCTAGTTCTTTCTACTTTCGTCAGTAATTCAACCGATTGAGGTGTCCATACTTGGGTCACGTAACAGAGATGTGAATGTACGAGAGCTACAATCCTGGCAAAAATTATTGTGGACACCGCATGCTTCAAACAAAAATAGATGTATTTCTACAGAATTAATCCCCAGAAAATTTCTCCCCCTCCTTCTCCCAATTCAATGTTGGTAAATGAAACTTTTCAAATTTAAATGCGCGAAACAACATTGAATAGGGGGTAGGGGGCGACAAATTTCATGAAAGAACGTCTCAATGTTAATATTGGCGTTAGAAAAGTTAGGTGTCCACATAATTTTTGCCAGGATTGTCTGAAAATAACCTGAAAAAAATATCGATAATTTTGACCCAAAGCAGGCGTCTTACTATAAATTTTTGATGTTGCCATTGCTTTAGGATAACAAACAGATTGTTTAAGCTGGTTTATTTTTTTTAAAGCATATTTATAATTTTGTGGGTGAGAAGCTTTTGGCCGTGATATATGCTTTACTGAACTAATTATGCAGAGCAGTTAACACAAGTTTTCAACAAAAGTATTTTATGTGCATTACCAAATTCACACCAAATATAACAGACTATATGGTTATTTTAGTGTATACGCATCTGCAACGCTCACTATTTTCAGATTTTTTATAACAAACGCATCCCAACAACGACTGTAGAGCGTGTCTGATCTAACAGTGACGTCACACGGTACACGGCTGTGTAGCGTATAGTAAAGAATACATAGCTTAAGTATTTTAATCACCACGCTACACAGTCGTGTACCGTGTGACGTCACTGTTAGATTAAAGGCGCTCTACAGTCGCTGTTGGGCTGCGTTTGTTATAAAAATCTGAAAATAGTGAGCGCTTCGGATGCGTACACACTAAAATAACCCTATAGTCTGTTATATTTAGTGTGAATTTGGTTACGCTACATTGCCGTGTACCATATCAATTTACTAAACATTCAAAATAACATTACTTACACATGTATACAGTTTTATACAGTTATATTGTATAAATACACAGGAATATGATGCTCCATGCTGCAAACTCATGGCAAAATGTTGCAGGCTAACAAAGGATCTGCATTTTGAAATGCATGTATTACCAATAATGCGAATGATTCACGCTCAGGAACTAAAGATAGATCTGCTTGCCTGTAAGTTATATGAGGTAAACAAACCTCGCATTTTTTTGGCTTAAAATTTTGCACTCAGGTTTGACTAAGTACTAAGACATCGTCGTTCTTTACAATGTTCAATAATTTGTTATACGAAAATATTTCTTTGTAGAGTTGCAGACTAAGTTGTGATTGTATAAATTCAGATAATACGTAAAAAGCCACTTGACATGTAATGTGATAGGTGACACTTGACATAGATCGGAGGGTAAGAAAAAACTAAATATAACCTGATTTACTCATTGTTTGCCCGTTTTGCTAAACAAACAATATACCATGCCTAAAATAGGCAATCATTTTTAAAAAAAATTTGAAAGCATGCGTGCTTTCGTTATATGTCATGGTTAACTACATCATGAATTCAGAACAATGAATGAGTGACTGGAGAACAATGGAAATTACAAAACAAAGTAAAGTAACAGACAAACAACTAGATTAATAATGCTCTCCAGATATTGTCATGCAAAGTGTTTTTTCCCCAGCTGCTGCAAAGGGCTTATTGGTTAACAATTGCTTGACGTGTGTTATACACTATATAGTTGGCGTATAGTGATTCTGTGATGCACTATATACCAACTATAGTGTCGTGCTTTCGTGCGGTATTGAGTTTGTTACATTCACTGTATACCAACTATAGTGCCGTGCTATCGTGCTTTCGTGCGGTATTGACTTTGTTACATTCACTATATACCAACTATAGTGCCGTGCTTTCGTGCGGTATTGACTTTGTTACATTCACTGTATACCAACTATAGTGCCGTGCTTTCGTGCAGTATTGACTTTGTTACATTCACTGTATACCAACTATAGTGCCGTGCTTTCGTGCTTTCGTGCGGTATTGAGTTTGTTACATTCACTGTATACCAACTATAGTGCCGTGCTATCGTGCTTTCGTGCGGTATTGACTTTGTTACATTCACTATATACCAACTATAGTGCCGTGCTTTCGTGCTTTCGTGCTGTATTGACTTTGTTACATTCACTGTATACCAACTATAGTGCCGTGCTATCGTGCTTTCGTGCTGTATTGACTTTGTTACATTCACTGTATACCAACTATAGTGCCGTGCTTTCGTGCGGTATTGACTTTGTTACATTCACTGTATACCAACTATAGTGCCGTGCTATCGTGCTTTCGTGCGGTATTGACTTTGTTACATTCACTATATGCCAACTATAGTGCCGTGCTTTCGTGCTTTCATGCTGTATTGACTTTGTTACATTCACTGTATACCAACTATAGTCAGGGGCGCACATTCGAAAAAAATTTGGGGGGGTGTCCTACGTTTTGGGACCGACTTTTGTAGTATCTGTGTTTGGTAAGAAAAGCCAACTATTTAAAGCGCATAGACGGTAAGACGGGGATAGTATTCCAACAGTTTAAATAAACGTTCAGTTTTTCAGAACTTTTGCAGCGGTCTAAACTTTCGGAGGGGGGAGGCAAAATTTTATGGATTTCGAATGCGAGCGACGTAGGCGTGAGGAAAATTTTGAATTTCTAGAGTCATTAGAACGCTATTTCACATATTTTAGGACCAGGTTTGAAGAAAAGTTACAACCACAAAAAGGCATTTTTAAGTCGCCTAATGTTGTTAGATCGAAAAATATTTATGTATAGAGTTTAAATAAACGTTCGCTTTTTCAGAACTTTTGCAGTGGTCTAAACTTTCGAGGGGGGGGGGCAAAATTTTTATGGATTTCGGATGCGAGCGCCATAGGCATAGGCGCGAGGAAAATTTTGAATTTCTAGATTCATTAGGATGCTATTTCATGTATTTTAGGACGAGGTTTGAAGAACAGTTACAACCATAAAAAGGCATTTTTAAGTCGCCTAATGTTGTTAGATCGAAAAAATATTTATGTAAAACATTGTATTGTACATGCAAATACAACAGTAAAATAGCATGATGTCTTCGTTTTTGTAGAAGTCGGTCATGAGTGCTGCTTTGAGCGCAAATTCAAGTTCAAATGTGCTTTAAAACAACCATATATAGGCATTTTGTACTGGAGTTAGGATTCTAGGTAGGGAAGACTTCAACTTTTATTGGCAAACAGAAGAGATGGGTATCATTATTCACACATCGTACCCCCACCCCAACTTCTGCCCGGATTTCAGCTTTCCACAAGGGCAGTCCTTCTGCCCATTGCAAAGCCCCCCGAGCCCCCATCTTGGCTACGCCGCTGATTTACTTCCGCCTTCCAAAGTTTCAGCTTTTACGACAAGACTAACAATGCACATTTTAACTGCACTGCGGGGGCTTGAGGTAATCGGATCGCATTATGTTGGCTGAACTGTTGCAACACGGAAGTTGATAGTATCATATAATTGATCTCTTGGTTTGTGTCAGTGAACTCTAATTTGTGTATGCGTACGCGTTTTTCTTATGTTTATGCAACTTCCATTTCCAAAATGTCCACCTATTACTTTTTTCGACACAAAATGATATCTTTCAGATTTTAGCCGGACCGACTTTTTCGTCCCATTCAGGTTTCAGGACCGACTTTTTAGATATATTTCACAAAACATGGGGGGGTGTCACATCCCCCCCCCCACCCCCCTAATCGTGCTTTCGTGCTGTATTGACTTTGTTACATTCACTGTATACCAACTATAGTGCCATGCTATCGTGCTTTCGTGTGGTATTGACTTTGTTACATTCACTGTATACCAACTATAGTGCCATGCTATCGTGCTTTTGTGCTGTATTGACTTTGTTACATTCACTATATACCAACTATAGTGCCGTGCTATCGTGCTTTCGTGCTGAATTGACTTTGTTACATTCACTATATACCAACTATAGTGCCGTGCTATCGTGCTTTCGTGCGGTATTGACTTTGTTACATTCACTATATACCAACTATAGTGCCGTGCTATCGTGCTATAAACGGATTTTATTAGATTCACTTTACGCCAACTATAATTGCAATGGACTGTACAATTCCCATTATAGACTTTTTTTATCTACGTAAGAAGAACAAAATTGCAAATTTTGGTTCCGAAATGTTGTAACATTTGCCAATTTTGAATTTTGGTAGTTGGTTTATTCTTCTACTTTGTTAACTAACGGTTTTTTGTGAAAAACATGACATGTTTATTTCGACTAACTATGCCGTGCATCATCGGTTTTGGTACACACACTGTATGAAACAAATTAGGATCTAAAGTTGTGTGGCGCTTTGTTAATTGTTCACTGTTGCAAGTGCTAATTTAATTTGTAATACAAAGGCTTTTTCAGCGCACAATGACAATGACTACCATTCATATAATGTTAGCATAAAAAGCGCGCGCCTGTCCAGTTTACTGTCTTTTGCTTCTGACATAAAGTGCGTTAAGACTGAAGAAGGGCTCGTCCGAAGAAATCTGCGATCTGGACTAAAGCAATTATGGCAACACCGGCATAACCAATAAAAGGATTGTCAATGCGGAAGGACAAAGATGGAGCGAAGGCACTGCACTTAAACATCAGCAAGGAGAAATATAAATGCATCTCCAATTTCTTTTTTACCATCGAGTCATGTGTGAAATTTCCACCGAAGCTGAAGTTGTGTCGTTATAACGGCTGGATTCTTGACGTTCAACGTACGGATAATGTATCGATGTAAGTGATTTTATATTATTATATCTTCCGTATTAAATATAACAATGCCTGAACGAAAACATCAGAAGCAATTATACTACATGAATACTATTTGTAAATTTGAAAAACGTTTTATCCGAAATATATTTATTAATCTTTCAACTAAAAATCTTCTCGCAGCGATAAATCGCATTTAGTGTTGTCCTTTAAACTTTACGCACATGGTCAAACGATTTAAAGGGCAAACAATCAAATAACATTATGAAAAACGCCTTAAGGGCATCCAGGAGATATTGTTAGGAATATATAGCGTAAGTGTAATGAATAGGAAGACTTGCACTCTGTTAAAAATTCACTACGTTTCTAGTGTTGAGACTATATTGTGTTTACACTATAACGAAGTGGTTTGCCGTAGCGTATTAACATTTTGGTATTGTTTAACTGCGCGCACCGCAACTCCTTTGTATGCGTACAGCTCTCAAATTACGTTGCCTGATTAGTTCTCCCATTTTTTACCTCGTCGGTAACAAATGATTAACATTGCGATCGTAAACAGATTTATAATAGAAATACTTTATAATTTGCCCTAAAACAGCTATTTTCTGTGTAGAGTTAATACATTGTATGTATACAGACTGGTTATCACTTACCAGTTCGCATTTGACACTACATTTCCGTCACGCCTGTCTAGCGTGTCAGTTAGATGCGTGATACATTACTTGCTAGTTTGTGTTAACTGTATTGTAGTGTGTTACTAAATCAAAAGCATGGTAGCAAGCATATAGCAAAAAACGGAAAATGATGACATGTTGGAAACCCATAATATGGACTAAAGCATGATTCTGAAATAGGACCCAATTTGTTGTTTCTTTGACTATTGATATATAATAAAACACTTATTTACTGAGACCTCGGGAAAGCAGTGTATTTTGTGGACCCTCAACCATCGATGTTTCCCGAGGCGAATAAGTGATAAATATGCTACAACCGGAAATAATTTTACGTGGCAGATATTCTGGGGGCGGAAAGGCCGTAGAGGCGAATTGTGTCAGGCTCTCTTCAATACCGAGAGCATGATACTCAGGTTAGCCCTGAAACGACAGTGCCGACATAGCTTTCCGACTTCCGGAAAACAAAAGCGACATCCTTTCTGAACAAAACAAAAGCGACATTCTTTCTAGTCAGGTTTAGAAGGGTTGCTTTTAGGGGTTATTGCTCTTAGTATAATATTTTAAGAAAATGACCATGCACCACCTGATAAGGTAAGGTAAGGTAAACTGATAATTATACAGAAAATAACTCGTATACCTGGCAGAAATTAAATTTTATTATTTCCTGGGATGAAAAACTGATTATATCATGGGATGAAAAACTATGCTTAATTTAATTTAATTATTGTAGATTTCATAAGGATTGTCATAGTTTTCTATAAATATCAATACATAATTTTATTTCACTTTAATACCACGAAAAATATATGCACAAAAAAAACGATTCGCTGTCAAGTCTCGCAAATATCATCCAGTTGTAGACTGCGAGCGGTCCCTCCTTTCCTTTGTTGTACTTTTACATAGTGATAAATGGTGGCTAAAGACGATTTCAGCCAAGTTTCATCAAGTTTGAAGCAGTGCAGTTATTTTATATTCGATATTGTGTCCTTCGATATGTCATTTATTAAGGTAATTCCGCAGTAATTGTTCCCGAAATGAGAATGTGCTGAAACTTCCCAGGCATGGAGTTTATGATATATACTTAAAGTAAAATCACACAAAAAAGTCGGGGTCACCGAACTCGTTAAGAAGATATGACAATCACAATATACCACCTTTACCCCAACATGGGACCATCTTGACGCTCATTACGAGTAACAGCAAAATCACAACAGCCCGATATTTATTGACGTTTTTAGCGCGGATTTTGCTTTAGTAAACCTATCTTGTAATTATTTTTGAAAAAATATTGTGTTTTGAGCAAAATGAAACTACTAACGTGTACAATTCTGATCCACAAATGTCTTTTCCACATTTCTTTACATATCTTTCTTTGAGAACATGCATTGATAAAGGATTTTTTTTTCAAGATCCAGAAATGATTTTTCTTTTAATTTCGGATATGAAATGTAAAATGCATTAAAGAAATAAATTTTCAGTTAAAAAACGGGGGTCACCGATCTTTTTAGGGAATTGTGGCATTAAAACGTGAAATACAAGCAAATAAATATACTACAGACACAAGGAACCCTAGCTACACTTTTGTATGCCTTTTTTGAAAACATTGATTTTAACGTAATTCTTTGCACGAATGTAACCAGAGATGTTTTGAAGTAACATAAAATTATCATAAAATGATTTTTTTTAAACGGTACGTATAATGGATGAAATTATAAGTCAGTATAAGATGTGCACAGTAAACATGCGCAATGCAATACTGCAGAATTACCTTAATATCAGTGCCACCATTTTAATGGCTCGCCGCTTCCCTGGCCGATAAATGCCACTTATTCGTCTTCATATGTATTTCGATTACAGTATCCAACAGTACTTCGCTGTAGAATAGTATCAATCGAAAAATTGAAAACATTAATTGATGATTCCCTAATCCCCTTATTACGTTTTCGTAGCGCTTTGCATTGTAGTTATAGTGGCATCACTGATAAAGATAGCGGCCTCGAATGAAAATATTGAATGTTTTCGCGAATATTTTGCTGTTGGCTATCGCGCATCTGACCCTAGCTTTTTTTAAAAAGTTCTTGCACGGGTCAGGACAAAAAATAAACCATCTTGAATATCAGTGATACCACTATAACCACAATGCAAAGCGCTACGAAAACGTAATAAGGGGAATCTACGAAGGAAAAACCTCCCATAAAAACAAATCGGTTGATTGGAAAGCCAATCTTCGCAATCTCCGCGAAAATTCCTGGTGGCTACTTGACAGGGCGGATTAACCTGAAATCAGGCTCTATTTTATAATATTTTCATGAAACGTTTGTTCGCCACCACAGCAACCAACTGAATACATATTATATTTATTGTATTTTTTATGATTACGCAAATATTTATTGTTTTTTTATCATAAATCATAAAATACAATAAATATAATATATTTAGTTGGGTTTCTAAACCTGACTATAAGCACTTCAGAAAGGATGTCGCTTTTGTTTTTCGGAAGTCGGAAACTATGTCGGCACTGTCGTTTCAATGGCGGGGTTATTTTCAGGTTTCGCCATATATGCCATGTTCACCGCCATGGCCATTTTACCCTAAAACAGTTGAAATTACATGTGCTAAATAAAACGTATACATGTACTTTTACACAGGTCCTATAGACTATCAGTCCTTTATGAGTTTTCATTGTTCAAAATGTCATCTTTTTGCAGTTTTTGTTTTATAGTCTACTGTCATGACCTACACTCATTGCGCTGTGTCGCGAAATACTTGGGTAGGTTTATGGCTTATTTTCTCGTTAACTGTTTTATACAAGTTTGTTTTTTTAATTTCACATATGTTAATGTACAGAACTTATTCTAGGAACAAAACTACTTCTTAAGTTTTTTGTACTTGGATGTCAGTGTGCTCTTACATTCTTGCAGGGATTGTTTTGTTACCTGTGATGAAATGCAGAGTGTAAAACAACTCAAGGCAGCAATCAACCATCGATTTAACGAAAACTGTGGTGTTTATTGGAACAATTTAACCGATGCCCAGTTGACTGATTATTCATGGTCAAAAGTACGGGAGTTCATGACTAACGGCGGGAAAACTTTGGTTGGCACTCTTACAACCGGTCAACAGCACTTCATGAAAAAAAGAAACGAAGAGGGACAACTTGTCCCCATGGACGAATGTGATCAGGCGTTCTTGGAATCATGTAAAGATGCTGTTCATGTAAAGATGCTGTTGAGTCCACGTATATAATCAATGAAAAGTTACAGGTTTATATGCATTGTTGGTATGCTGTAATGTACACTTGTGCACAGTTGCACAACATATCGTTGTGCAGCATAGTTGGTGTTTATAATAAGAGATCCACAACTGAGCATTAGCAAGAATTACATTTTTAGGGTCATTTTTTTAGACTCTACATAGTACGAACATGTTTTGCTGTTCACGTCACAGGAACATGCTGAAAATGGAAATGTAAACTAATAATTCATAAATATTTTGTTGAATTCTATAGGTTAACAGGTATGGTGAAATTCCAGAGGAAAATTGGAAATATATTTGGATGGTACCCCATTTACGGCTCATACCTGCCACAAAGAATGACAATGAGGTGAAGGATTACCTGGAAGGAAGTCTTGAAAACTATGTCATCAAGATAGAGCGACCATATTCACTTGGCATTTTTAAATGGAAAGAATTCATTTATCATGCTAAGATCTTTTTCAAAGTGATTTCATGCCATTTATAATCTTATTGAGTGCTGGAATAGGCACCTGTCACTTTGAGAAAGTTCTATCTCTTATCCGTAAGTAAACTTATTAATGAACGCAAGGCTCCCTACAGTTTCCAATATATGTCAGTATTTTATTAAACTAAAACCGATTTAATTAATTTGAATCTAAAAAAACAATTTTTTTGCACAAGCCACTGTTTTCTGTTGTATAAAAGAGTACTTTTAACTCACAATCGCTACTCTTTACGTTACCATGACAACATGACGTCACCATAACAACATGATGTCACCATATATATGGCATATATTAACCAAAAAAGCCGTCTTAGCGGACAAATAACCACGGTGACCTACCCTTTTCATTGTGAATAGTAGCGAATGTGGGTTAAATTTACTCTTTTATATATGAGGAAACAATGGCTTGTGCAAAAAATAGTTGTTTTAGATTTAAATTAATGAAATAGGTTTTAGTTTAAAACACTGACATATATTGGAAACTGTAGGGAGCTTCCTTAAATAATAATATGTTATAACCATGAAAACTTGTGGCATCAGCATAAGCAGTACATGGTGCAAACAAAATATATGGTGTTTTTGTAGGTTTGCATAGCGATAAAACATATAATTTTGCTTACATATATACATATTATTAGCACTGATGAAGATCCGGGCTTGAGGATCGAAAGCTTTGCAGTAATAAATTTACGCGGTGTTTCCACAAACAAAACTACTATAACTATATGGTTTTCTTGTGTAGGTTTCTGCTCGACCAATGTTAAGATCAATGAAAATTTGGAACGTTAAAAAGGTTTACCACCACAATATAGGGCGAGGAAAGATCTACCCAAGCAGACGTACAATTTAATGATAATTCTGTGCATTATTCTTCTAGATTCTTGTCCAGTTCCTACTGCTGTCGGTGAAACAGCAAGTGGAAAGTCCACAGCGCTGACACTTATCAGCAAACTGTGTGGGTTGCACACGGTGTCGAAGTCATCGGGCGAGTTTATTATATCTTATCTAAAAAGAACAACATTTCCCTTGTGCTTGGACGACCCATCACGCCAATCCAGCACCGTCGGACCACTGGTGTCTGTATTCAATGGTCTTGGGCAGCAAACAAAAGAGCGAGGAAACGAAACTCCCAGAACTTCATTTCTCCTCACAGTAAACTTCACAATGGATGATAATATAAGGTAAATACAAGGAACAGTGATAAGGAGGAATTTTAGCTATTACTGTATGTAAGTCACAACAACAGTTAGTAGAAACTATATGAAATTAACCAAAAGTTCATGTCTGGCGTGCTACTTTGTTAGGGCGTTCGAGAGGACCATACCAATATGGTTCAAGAAGGTCATCGCCCAGGAGGGTGAAAGAGGGAACGATTTCCTTGATGAAAAATAGAAAATGTTCTCTTTTGTTATCACCCACGCAGTTCTGGATATCATAGCCTTGTCTACTCGTATCAACCACGAGAGTATTCAAGATCATATGGAGTACTTTACTCAACAACTGAATGGTCTGTCACCAAGACTGGCAGAAATTTACTGTGTATTCAGGCTGGTCTCGCATGTGGTACGTAAGCATAAGTTTAATAAATTTTAAAACAGCTCTAAAAATGTATATTTATTGTTTTGTACATTGACATACGATAATTGGACAACTGAAAAAACACTGCTGATAATTGGAGAAAGTGTATGCTTGTGACATTTGTTGGACGTGAACAAAGCTTTCGATTTTTTCTTTTGTAAAATTTACATAGATCAGCGAATTTGTGAACGACAACGATTTGATTGATAAAAGCTCGCTCGACAACTACCTAACGAAAGAATTCATACCATATGTTACTTCATTCTACGATGTCACGGAAAGGGCGCACACAAGCATGGATGAAATTTTCCAGCTTTTTATAGAAGCAATTAAGAAAAGACAACTGGGTAAAGATGAGGTACGGTATATACAATTCGTAGCTAACTATATTGTCTACAATGGGAGTGATCTGGCTTTACTGGTGGAATAAAGTAAATAATCGCGGTGTCCCCACAAAAAAAAAATGGATGAGAAATGGTGTAACCATTGGAATAAACGGTTTATATATCAAATATACAACTATAGGTGGAAGTTATGTATCATAAATTAAAATTATTCAATTCTGTTTCACATAGGTTGGAAAGTGGCTCAGGCACAGAATAAAAGGAAAGAAAGAAAACAAGTCGGTGAATTTTATCGCGTTCCTGGTCGCAAAAGCATTAAATTGTGTGAAGGACGCAGAACTCACTGTCCCAAGCGATGCAAGTGTTCGCGAGATTGTAAATAAAGTGAAGGGTGCAACAACGGATTTCAAATCTACGTTCGTGGGACAACCAAAGAAAGTCGTGTGTTGTCGAGTGCCAATACATGCCATCAACAAAGAAACATTAGCTCAAATAGACAAAAGTATGTCGAAATTATTGAGTTTATAAATTTAAAATACTTATTCAAAATTCATAAACATTGTAACATATCATGTCAGCCATAATATTTCATGTGGAGTGACTTTATATCTGATAAAACTCATCTTCATTAGTATTCTTTATATAATTGTTCATCCTAATTAGTATGATTATATAATTGTTCATCGTAATTAGTATTTTTTGTAGTCGTATGTTAAGCTATTTAAAACACGAGAAGGAGTGTTTTATCATATCTAAAACGCTTGGCTGCGCCTCGCGTTTCAAATATGATAAAACACTCCTTCTCGTGTTTTAAATAGTACAGCGTGCATGATTCCTCTTTGTAATTAAGTATAACAACTCATAAAAAATCGGGAATATCAGAAATGGGGCAAATACATTTAACTTTTTAAACCTCTTTCCCTATCAGTCTTTTCAGATGAAACCACACCCTATACGAACGACGAGGATGAGCTTGCAGGTGAAGAAAAACAAGACGAAGCACCATGCGAAACGTGCGAACGCACTATGGAAGAACTGCAAGCGGTAAGAGAGACACATATGGCGGAGACACAAGATGCTCGTGATTGGTACCAGTCGGAGATGGAAAGTTTGCGGCAAGAGTCATGTTCAAAACTTGCCGAAAAGGATGAAGAAATTGACGATCTTTAAAATGAGATTCGTTTGTTGCGGGAGAAGTCTGCTAAAGATGGTACGATAATAAAGTCTTGTGCCACACGTTCCAGTGTTGTTGCTATAGGAATAAAAAATATAGTGGCTGGTAAGAGTTTTCATTTCTTCTTCAACTTGTTAACTATTAGTCGATCATTAAAATCACTACCGTATGAGGAAGCAATTGTGTATTGGGGGATTAGTCAGGGGTGATTGTTAGGTCATTATTTCGGGTAGTTCCTCGGGTAGAGGAGAAGTGATCACGTGATCGGCTAGTTGTGTTGTTTGTGGCGTCAGATATAACCAAATCCCTATCTCTAAGCCTAATCCTTACCCTAACCCTCACCCTAACCCTAACCCTAACCCTAACCCTAACCTCAAAACTAATCGCTATAACTAACTGATGACGTAGTCTGTGATGCAAATTCTTCTACCCGAGGATGTACCCATTATTTCCCTCTCAAACTTTACAAATTATCGCTAGTTTAGATTAGCCCCGGTTGCTATGCCCCTGCTAATTTGTTAACCCTTCTTAGAAAACGAGGATGCACCAGGAGAAGTTTCGGGAGCCGGTACATCAGAAGTGTCGGAAGGAATCTCGGGGAATTCGCAGGACTCCCCAATGACGATGCTGGATGACTCTGGTAAGTCGTAGGAAATTTCCATTAAACATATCACATTGTGGCGTGTTTTAGTAATGGTAACTAAACATTTTAATTGATCTTAAAAAATTCATTAATAATTCACGAGGAAAATACAAAAGAAATGAATGTTTAATCAATGTTTGTAAATCGGATAAAGATTTGTCCTGATTTATATAAACTTCAGGTTTGATTTTCTCGGCTTAGACAATGTTTATTTTTAAAATTACTTTGCCAATGAACTCATAAGATGAGTAATTTTTTAACTGTACGATAAAACATTCGCAGCTGATCTGTATATACAGATCAGCTGCTCATGTTTTATCTAGTACATATAAACATAGTTTTTCTTAAAAGTATTCTATAGCCAGGAAAGGAGCCAGGTTTTAACCATCATGCCTTTACTTTTTCTGAAAAGAATTTTGTTTCTTGATAGATAATGACCATAATTCACCGGTCAATATGACCAAGAAGAGATCGGGAAGTCCCAGCCTTAAACCAAAACGTCGGTGCAATTTATGCCCCAAGAAAAAGAGTAGCGGAATGTTGCAATGCATCACCTGCAAGCAATGGCAACACTTTGGATGTGTTGGGAGAAAATATAAAGATGTTGAAGGCATTGCAGCGACGTTCAAATGTTCAGACTGCAAGTAAGATTTGAACATTCAGTGATTCGTTTTACCGCACACACTTTACAATATCAATTTATAATATCAAGTCAGTTTACTTTAGCAAATACATTCTTTATAGGTTTGTGGAAAGCACCACGTAATGCTTTTATATAGCAAAGTTTAATCGACCAATAAGTCTGGGTCTTTATCAATGCAACAATACATCATATATGCACTGATGAAGATCTGGGCTTACGGTTCGAAAGCCTTACGAAAAAACCAAATAGTGTTGTTATAAAGGTAACAATATTGACCATTTTATAGTTTTCAAACGTCGCATACACGCTATGCATGCCTCGATTGCGTTTGGAACCTGGAAATGAGTCTCCTTAAAACGAAGCCAGTAGGTCAATTTTTAACTTCAAATATGTTTTTGTGGTCTTTCCAAAGACAACACAATGAAAAACCAAAACAAAATTAAATTTTTAATTTATATGTTTTGAAATGAGCTAGTCCTACTGGCTTTTGATCTACCAACTTCGTTTTCATGCGACTCAGAAGCATATAAATAATAGATATAGAATCTATCTTTTCTCAGTAAAAAATTTGTCTCCACAAAATGGCGGATTTATAAGGGCATTTTGGTTGGTCCCAGACTTCTGAGGCACGGAATTTCGCGCGGTTGGAGGGAGTACGAATTGTATTTTCAAGTTTCAACTGCAAAAATTTTTATCTATTTTTTCTATGCTGAGAAGGCATTATGCATATCGTGTATTTGTATGTGTCAAATCAATTTATTATTAGTATTGCATTAAATTAGCCTTTCTTACCCATCATTTTTTGTGGCATCTAATTCTCGTTAACTAATGAAGACAATTAAAACAATGTGAAAAGCAATTTTTGAAAATAAACTAACCATTTACAAAGCAAATTTACCATCATTCGTCCAAAAAATTATAAAAAGTCAGTATTATGTGGACTTTATCTCGCAGACTTCGGCTCTGAAAAGCCACCCAAATGGCGGCGTAAGAAAGGTCTATTTATACATGCATTAAAATAACTTCTTTAATATACAAAAATGACAACGACATATTTCGACGTTTGAAGCATATTAAACTATATCACATCTGTGATCACATTTTTGTTAGTTTCGGGAGAATTGGTATTTTGGAGTTGATGTGACATTTTTCCGTGTATTTGTTTCTATATTTGACAATTCTGTGTAAAAAGAAAAACTGATGAATATGAGGCATAGCGCACATAACCTTTTTAAATCGGCTAGCCCAAACGAATGTTTGCTCACGTGCCATCGTATTGAATTCATGTGGCAATTTATCATCAGGATTGTATAGTCTTTTGCATTTCGGATCCACATGGTTTTTCAGGTGTAATCTATCGATAACCTTTCCAACACGCTTCCACATTTCATCGTAAGGGTAAGGTAACGGTAAATTTTTCTTGGCTATTAACAGGCCATCCATATGGCACATATTATCATAAGACAACACGGTCGATGAAATTTCACTTATGATTTCATCTCGGCAATATCCAGCATCTTCTAGTGCTTTAAATTTGCGATAAAGCCATAGAACAGTTATTAGGAATGCTTGGGTAGGTGATTCTGACCTAGGACACACAAAACAATTGTCATTACAACCTAAGTACAATTCAACTTCCTTGCTAAACCCATTTGTCAAAAACATGTACTGTATGTACTGATTAAAGAACACTTTGTCTTTGATCACAGAAACCTTGAGAGTACAAATTGACCTATAGTGCTTTACTGCCTCTGTACGACAAGTTGTGTCTACTTTTTACAACCACATGAATACAAAACAAAAACTCACTTGTAAAGCGGCTGCCAGTATTCTATGTGTCCACCTGCACTGACTATGAAAAATACACCTCTTGACCAAAAATGCAACGTTTTTAATCCCCCTGTATCTTTGTTGCACTTGAGATCACTCTCAACACTGTTATCTTCCACAAATGCAGGGTTGTTCAATAAGAAATCTGTGGTGCCTTTAATTAAAGAGAAATTTTATAATTTGCAACAAAATTTGTTCAATATACATAAAATTTCAATTCCCAAATTATGAAGAAAAAATCTATATTTTGTAAGAGGAGAAAATTCACTAGCATCTGATCAAGGTTGTAAGTTGAACAAGTTGCATGATTGTTGTTGAATCTATATCTAATCAATACATTTTTACTGAATTTTCTCATAATTAATAATTAAGTCGATTGAGTGATCTCATGTCTAATTCACAGTGAAGACTTCACTTTTGCTTGGTTGGTCAAAGTTTTTTTGTGTGAACATGTAACATAAAATGTTCAAATTGACCTTTTAGCTTTGTCAAAGAACAACTCTGATTCAACTAGTTGTACATTACCTCGAAATGTAGAAGCATTAGGGGTATTATTATTGTTACTTTGATCCACAAACCCTTCCAAACAACCAGAAACTGCATCAAATGATGAGTCTACAAAATTTTAAGTTTATAATTGAGGCTTTGCAGCAACAAATTTGTATACTACATTGTTGTATGCCTTACACCGTTTTTGACTGCAATTGATTTTGGAAAAAGCCTTTTTACTATTATAAATTGGAAATTGTCGAACTTGTTCTCATGACTCCACACTGGTGTGTCTGATGAACATACTGACTAAAACATATGCAGTATAGACAGCAATAGAAATATTATGTACAACAATTTTTCTTACCAGATAACAATGGCTTGGATGACATTTCGTCCAGTGCTTAAATTCAGGAAAATAAACTATATGTTAGTAGTGAAGCCCATATTTTGGTTGGGGTTAAAGCCCCATACATCAAGCCATTTAAATAACAATGTATGACAGCAACTTCTTTTAAAGAATACTTATATCAACACCATTATGTGGGTTCTTAATTAAGAGGAGAGAAGAATAAGAATGAATCTATCCAACTAAAATGTCTCTTTCGCTGTAATTACATGGACACTAATTAATTTTGGACCACTGGTTTGCTTCAAGAATACAAGAATCAAGAATTCCAGACCTCTGGTGTCACAGGAAATTTGCCCCCCCCCCCCCTTCTCCAGGGATATCAGGAAATTCCTAGGGGAGCATTCCTTTAGTGCAATCTGAATTTGGATCTTCAAATCCAATGATCAATTTTCAGTTTTATTTAACAAAATCTTAAAATAGGTTCGAATCTGATGAATCCACCTCAACATGTGGATTTTTAAGATTCAATCTGAAACTTGATTAGGATTCAACGTTCCTTTTGAGCTTCTGGCCTTCTAGCATGTACCTTGACCCAATCACAATTTGTTCCATTTGTTTAACAAATCCAAAAATTGAAATATTTGCAAGGCGAAAGATACAAGAGGCGAGAGGGAAGAGCCTCTCGTCACATTGGTTGCAAATCCCACTTCCACACTTGATTATAAGGTTCAGAATTTGAATCTCGCATGTGATTGGTCAGTTGTAAAAATATGTCAAACTCTGAACCTAATCAAGTGTAGAAGTGGGATTTGCAACCAATGTGACCAGAGGCTCTTCGTTCTCGCCTCTTGTATCTTTCACCTTGCAAAGAACCAGGGTAGCCCCGGCGGTGATATCACAGTGGGTGGATTTTCCGGGGTATCGGTTCAACTCCAAAACAAACATTAAGTTAAAATTAAGTCAACCTGTTGTTTGGAAAGAGCATCAAAAACTATGTACTACGAGAAGAAAAACATTTTCAGGTCCATAGGCTAAAGGCATCCAGTTTGGTAGCATTTTGAAATTCTCAAAAATTAGTATAAATACATAGTATGGAAAAATAGTGAGGTGGGACAGCGTATGCTCACCTCAGTATTTTCCCATACAATATTTATACTAATTTTCCTGAATTTTTAAATGCTACCAAATTTGATGCTTCTATCCTTTGATGGACCTGCAATTTTGTTTGTCTACACAGTTTTTCAATGCTCTTCCCAAACAATAGGCTTAATTAACTTAACTTTTATTTTGAAGTTGAATCTTCTGTCTGGAATTCTTATTAAAATCTGTCAGTTACCTTGATCCACTTCAACACCAGTCACTCCACATTTTTTGTATAGGTCCCTCAATCCTGTTTCATAGCCCATTGCCTGTGCTTTTTCAGAATGCTCATTGCAAAAAGCATGACCTCGTTTTGGTGAGAGGGGGCATATGCTGGGATAGTTAATTTTCCCGAAACCAGACACACTAACAGGCACTTTCCACATACAATGAGCATAGCGTAATTTCCAATTGCCATCAGCAACGTACAATCTGCCACACCCTAAAAAGCAAGATAAAATGGAGTATGTTTTAGCAGACTGAAATTTATGGGGCAGGTTCCCTGTATTGCACAGCACATACTAAATACAACTACGATACTCTGCAGGTATATTTTTCCTCAGAATGCCATTGTTATTGTCAAATGTCAACAAAGCATTTATATCTGTAAGGGTTTCATACTGTATATTGTCTTTACAAAATTGTAAAATATTGCAAAATCTACATTTCTGACTTACCTTGTCGTTTACAATGGGAAGAGCACTTATGGCTGTATAATTCTTCACAGCGGTTTCTGTCAACATATTCCATGACATCATCATATGTGCCCATGTGCTCATTGGTTCCAGATTGATTAGGTGCAAAGATCCATTTTTCTCTTAACCCTCTGTCTTTTAGCTCCTCCTCTACTTCACAATGCCAGAAGCACTTGGCAACCGACTTGGCAGATAGTTCGCCCGTTAAAATACCTATAAATATAACACAGCTTAATACGTCAAATTTGACCCATCAACTTGTAAGATTTGTTATTTTTACTTGTGCAAAAATACTAAATATGTCAAATATTCACCCACAGCCTGCTATTGTTGGATTTGGCCAAATTCTAAATACTAAACCTAGTAGGTATTAAATTAAATTAAAAGGGTACACACCAATACTACAATCTTCTGGAGCCTCTTCTGCTTGCTCCGCTGAAGTTGAACAGGCTGAAAAACAAATTACAAAATAATTGTCAACTAAAGATGAACTACCCTGGTTCTAGAAGCTCTTTGCGAGGCAAAATAAACAAGAGGCGAGAAGGACTTCCACACTTGATTAGGTTCAGAACTTGAATCTCGCATGTGATTGGCCATTTGCAAAAATATGTCAAACCAGTTTGGGAAATGAACATTTAATACTGCAAACTAATTATACATACAGGTAGCTATCATTTCTTTCGCCTCGCAAAGAGCCTCTGGAACCAGGGTAAAGGTGAATAATTTGACACTAGAAGCATTTTATCTTGATAGAAATTTTAAATAGAACTTACATTTCAAACGTGAAGCATATTGGATGATTTGCTGCTCGTAGGTTTCATTATATGCCTCTGCAAATCCGCTGAATGAAACCCAGCAGTGATTGCTACATATAAAATGTAGAAATTGATATAATTATAACTTTCAGAAACTACATAGAAACTACATGGAAATAGGAAAATTGTATAATTTTAATGTTAAAATTAAGAAATTAAAGTTTCTACCCACCAAAAATACTTGCCCCCTCCCCTGCTAATTTTCCACCCTAACCACAGAATAGCATTGCTGGAACGACGGAAGGTGGGCAATAATGATGTAATGTATTTACTATATATCGAGAAAACATATATGCATTTTCGCATCCTTTTCATTGGTTGTATTTTCAATAATATTCAGACAGCATCAGATAAAAGCATGAACATAAGCATGAAAAGATAAACTGGGGGGGTGCTATATAAGCTCAATTACCGGCCGGCATTCGGGAAGGTTCGACTTGAGTTATGGTTAATCGAGCCTAGGTGCTATAATTGTTAGATATTTTTAAGGGGGTCCAGCGTTTTTGATAGGCATAAAATGGGGTTGTTCTCGCAGATGTTGCCTGATTTATAAATAAGGCCATAGAAAATAAATTCCTTGATTCTCATCACTAAATTTCAAAAAGTCCAAGTCAGCCAGGACGTTTATGTTTTATATCAAAATATAAAAAATTGGAGAGGGAGGTATTTTTGTATTTGGCCTTAATTAATATATTATACTTATAGCAATATAGGAGAATGCTGCTATTAATGAACATACACAAGGAAAATACACAAGGGTGCACAGACTCCACACAAATCATTGTAATAAGCTCACATGTTGCATATGATGTTACAATATTAACGATAAAACAATTTAATTTTATATCGCAAAAATTCCATATTAAATATAAAAATAAGTGAATCTTTTAAAGATGCTGGGTCGAACGGTAAATTTATACTTTATAACAAAATATATCAACGCGGAAATCCAAATATGGTCGGGCGGTGATGAGAATGTAGGAATTTACTTACAGTAACTAATGAACCGTTTATGGAAATAGCAAAGCGAGAGCTCATCAACAGACGTAGGCCGCAAAACGTGGCAATTGGTCAACGAACAAAGGGCATTAAAAGTATCCCACATTAACGTCGCCCGCAACGGTTTTCCAGATATAACTCGTCTTATATTGGAAGGAACTTGGTGTATCGTCTTTCGTAGGTTACAAACACCTTGGAAAGTCAACTTGGCAGCAAGAAGTTGAAGTGTTTCGTCCTCAGTGAAACTGAGACCTTTTGTTACAAAAATGTCTACGAGATCGAATTTTTGTAAACCGACAACCTGTTGTTTAACGCTATCTGCACAACTTTTTTCCTCATCAAATCTTTTCTTAACTTCTTCCAGATCGAATAAACCATTCCGTCTCTTCTTCTTCGACATTAAAAGACTCAAGCGCGAACGAAAATACAAAAATATTGGGGATGCCTTTTATGTAGATATACTGTTGCAAAGAATGCGTGAATGTGAATATTATATTTCAGCACACTTTGTGGTTGAATTGAATGCGTGAATGTGGATATTATATTTCAGCCAGGATTATCATAGCACGATAGCACGCGTGCTTTGTGAATATTAAACAAACCGGATGCCTATTTCAGGCAGCTTATGACAAACAAGCCTATTTTCTCATTGGATCCAGCATAGATAGTGGAATAAGAAGGATAGGAGACTGGGGCCTGGGGCGAGAATATGTTGAAATAAAAAAAAAAATAGTCACGTGGTTTTAAAGCGACACAAACACGCGCGAGGTGTTGACAATTTGTATAATTTTATATGGTATCATATTACGATTGTTGTGTTTGTTTGTTTTTTTCGGGTTAAATCGGTTGCATTTTTAAGGATGGACTGCGAAGGCGAAAGTTCGAAGTCTTTAATCGATGAGCAGGAGGCCATGGAAGCCGTTGTAAACTATTTGTCGGAAGAAATCAACGAGATTGTGGAGTTAGAAGAGTGCGTTACCCAAGGAGTTAATGAATGTCTTCTTACTAAAAGCTTTCCATGCGGCCTCTGTTCGAAGATCTGCAAATCAAAAGGTGGTCTTACTAATCATACAAGGGCCAAACATGGTGAGAAAACACCGATTATCAAGTCAGTATCGCCAATAACATCGGATGTTGTTTGTGAAATTGTTTGCAAAGCAGCGCAGTCCGTAATAAAGTCGAAGTTGTATGGCGAGAAAATGACAAAATTGATTAGCGAAGCCGACCTAAAGCCATCTGATCTTCTCGTGAGTTCTTTGTTGACATTGTATGGCGGATATTGTGAAAAATTAGACAGGGACAAACTCTTGAAAAACTTTTACAAGCTAATACCAGAGTCTGCGAAGATGTTCGAAACAAAATCAAAAGAAATGAACGTTCCTGCATACAATCTCATTATGATCCACATTCCTGATTTAGTCGTTGGCTTTTACAAACGTGGAAATGTTCAAGAAAAGCTTCCTGTCATAAAGCCAATTGAACAGTCCGAATTTGGGCCATTATCGTACGTTGCTGGTTATATAATTGCCAAAATGTATCGAAAAAGTAAAGCCACTGCAGGGAAAGAAACTCCAGAACAATTGGAACTTCAGTCATTGTTATCGAGCATGAAGTCACTGGATGACAACGAGTATATCGACTCTCTTTCTAGAGGAAAACTATGGAATCCTTGCGAGAATCTAATATGTATTGCTGCTGAATGTGAAAAGGTATTTCGGCAATACAGTGCTGGTTTGGTGAGGGAAATTCCTTTGGAACAAGTCAGAGCAGATGTTTTGCAAAAGCCTAAAGTGAAATCAGCTTGGGATGCTATTCTTTCTGATGCAAGCTTGGCTAAAAGCAAAACATCTGTTCCTGATGTATGTTTGGAGAACATTATTATGCTGTATATCCGCGTGAGATCCTTTTCTTACACAAAGGATGTTGTCACCCAAATCAAATTAAAGGAGAAGATAAATTTGCACAAGAAGGCTTTAAGGAAAGCACTTAAGGAACAGTCTGAGGCTAAAGCTAAAAGTCTTTAACTTGATGAGACCAACATTCTATTTTGTATCAAATATTCTGAACCTTTTACATGTATAAAGTAACATAATATAAAGTAACATAAGTGTTTTTCCTCTTTCACGAAAATGTGCAGTATATATATATATGCTTTTCTTATCAAGGGGAGAGTGCTGCTTAATGGGTTAAAACTGAACTGTTATATATATATATATATACTAAAATTAGCGAGTCTTATACTAGAATCATACTAGTATTACTATTGCAAATGCCGTAATTTGATTGGCTAGGAAAACAATCATTTTCCTTATTAAATTATTTTCTGGAATATTTTATGTTTAAAGAATGAGTATCAACCGTCATGCTTTGCACCGCTATGTTTACAGTTGGCTTCTATAATATCGCCATTTTTGGGTGCCCATAAATTCATGAAACTGTAAACATAGCGGCGCAAAGAATGACGGTTGATACTCATTCTTTAATCTCTGATTCGACTAAAACAATTAGATTACTCAATCTCGATTTCTATGAGGTGCAGGGCTTCCACAACTTATTTGCATAGGGCTGTCTTTATAGGGGTATAGGATTGGACAAAGAGAGAAACAAAGAACTTTTGAAAAGATTGTATAATATATACTACCAGTATTGACCCATCCCTCCCAAAGTAATGGTCTTTTGCCAGGAAATTTCTTGGCATTGTGGAAGCCCTGATGAGGTGATAGTTGATTCGGGCTTTGCCCTCATCATGGGTTAATTAGATACTGTACATAGAGTAAAATACTAAAGTAGGGCGCAATGCGACTCAATGGGTTATATATATCACTCATGTTTCCACACTTTCTCAACTCTAGATTTCCCAACTTTCACTTGTGTGTATATAATTTTATATCAACATGGAAAATGTTTTGTAATCCTTAAATATGATCAGATTCACATATATACAATTGTACTGGATCAACCATAAATTCAGTGTGCCCTCATGCAATGCAATTTATTGCATCTTATACTTTCTCTCTGGCAAATGCCAGAAAATGTTACTAAAATCTGTTTAATTCTGCTTCTTTTCCTTCTTCTTCTTGGGTAAAGGCTCTTCCCTAATAGTAGCCCATCGTGACTCACCCGCTTTTTGTCGTGATCCAACATTCCCTCGTGACACAAGGCCGGCATTTCTTTGGATCTGCAAAATACGGTCATTGTATCCAAACTGGACTGCATCCGGGTTGTCAGATCTTCGCCCGCGTTGTCTTTGGTGGCCAAAGTATTCCTCAAGGCAGTCTTGCATGAAGCGCTCAGTGAGGACATATGATACTCCATTCCCTAACAAAAACTTGGTGCATTCAATCAGACTGTTCACTGACATTTGTAGACCTTCATATGTCTGAATTGAGATAAACATTCGTGTCATCCCGTCTGGGGTGAAACCTTCTCTCTTGCTGATCGCTTCTTTCCAGTCAACAAAGTACTGAAGAAAAGTGTCAGTCAACCACACAAAGCGTGGATCATCACATTTCTCATAAGGTGCCAGGAGTGGGTTCTGCTTTCTCTGATGCTCATGACCCGATCGAACATTGCAACAATCAAAGAAGTCGTTCATCAGCTGACAGAAAGTTGCGGTTTCTGAGACTTCTTCCAGGGGCATGCTTCTTCGGAGGGCTTCTGCCATAGATTTGGAAAGAATTTGCACTGCCAAATTAACCCTCATTTTAGCATACGATGTTAAATGAATATGCTCGATGGTCAACTTTGGCAGTTGGTGGAGGCCCAAGTCTAGATCTGCAAAATAGCATCTAGAAATGTGCTTTCACAGCAAAATCTTTCCATTTCTCCAAAGGTACCTTGTTCCACCTGTGCCAGAACTGTGCAGATTACCTAAAATAAAACATATATAATAAACTACAGGGCACCTACATGTATGTAGTTCTCATAATCTTATGATACACAGTATAGTAAAAAGGGAGACAAAAAATTTTGTTCACCCACTGAATGACAGTACACTAAAACAATGTCTGGCAATCAGGGTGCAGTGGTTACTGAAAACGTAACAAAGTTTGGGTATTTGACCTCTCATTGTACATGCGCAACTTGGCAGGCTCTTTAACCCATTAAGCTGCAGAGCTTCCCCATTGACGAGTAAAATCGTCTGGCGTTAGACAAGTAAAAAAAATAAGTAGGGAGCATTGAGGCTCAATGGGTTAATGCGCAAGCCTATCCCCTTGAAAAGTAAAGTTAGCCTAACGCCCAGTTTACATACACTGTCAAAGTTTCTGTGATCACAGTAGGAATGTTGCATTGGTAAATTCTAAGTTTTGAAGGATTCGTCAGACATGTTTGAGGAAAATGATTTAGTGTTTAACACTTATTCAGTTGCCTCAAACATTTCTTACAAATCCTTCAAAAATTAGAATTTACCAATGCAAAATTCCTAATGTGATCACAGAAACTTTGATAGTGTAAACCGGGCTTAAAGCCGGGTTACAGTCCGTTCTGCGCATCGGTTCTGCTCATAACAAAGGTAGACTACTGGATTTCAAAATTGTGCAAATTTCGCATGTTTTGTATATTTCTGAACATAAACACTAGCTCATACTTATTTAAAAGTATAGCGAACCAAAATAGTGTTAAATTTTCTGACAGTTCATAATATTTTAAGAAATATAGCAGTTCAAAATGTAAACAAAGCGTTTGTTTACATTACGGACTGTAACCCGGCTTTAAATAAAAGCATCCTTAATATATTACCTCTTGTTGTTTTCATCAAATGTGGTACATCTGCAAAGAACCAAATATTCCTTTGTGGTGCAAATAGATTGATTGTCTTGTTCAAAATCTTTGATTCCTCACCCATAATATGCTTGTGCAGTCGATAAAACTTCCGGTTAGCTGACATTCCATCACTTGAAGTTGCAACAACATGGAGATCACAATTCAGTTCTAATATTCCAACTGCTCGCCAAAAAAGTGGGGCCAATTGATACGAGACCACTGTTTGTGTGAGAAAATATGCCAACATAAATTTTAGAGTGGTTTGGACACCTCTAATCATGAATGCAAGAACATGGGTAGCAACTTCAAGCTCTTCGAACGTTGAATAATCCAAATCAGGGTCACCAAGCGAGGTAAAACCAATCAATTTGCCTGAGTGTTTGTCAAAAACAAGCTTTCCCTTGATTTTCATTTCGTCAAACACCAAAACGACATATCTACCAGCACCTTCATAACAATAACAATAATAACTTTTACTCTGGATTGCTACTCCTAAGCACTTTACAAATAGGTCCTACAAAGCTAACCTAATTCTTAATAATTAAAATTTAACTCATTAACCAATTGAGTGGCAACACTATCCCCCTGGGGCCGGTTGTTCGAAGGTCGGATAGTGCTATCCACCGGATAGTGATTTTTTCAACCTTGGTAAAATGCTGAAAGTAATAGTTCAAATACGAGACAGAGGACTTTACCGGGATTTCAAAGTCCGAGTGCTTTTGAAAAGGCGAGCCGTAGGCGAGCCTCATTAATGCACGAGGACTTTGAAATCCCGGTAAAGTCCGATGTCGAGTATTTGAACTTACTTCTAAAACTCGCTAATTTACATAATTTCAAAGTACTAGTACTTTAAAAAAATTTCAAAGTACTAGTACTTTAGAAAAATTTCAAAGTGCCCCGTAGAATGTCTTCCTCTAGTTTCAAAATACTCATTAAACATTGATTTCTTTTGTGTTTTCTTCATGAATTATTAATGAGTTTTAGAAAAACTATGAAACTACGGATATAGACGACACAAGAAGTACGAAAGACATTTAACTTATAAATACTAAACTTTGATACGAGTTATACCAATCAACGATTGACTTAACAAAGCTTGAAAAAATCACTATCCGATGGATAGCGCTATCCAACCTTCGAACAACCGGTCCCAGATGAGTACAATCGTCAGAGTAAAATAATAAAGTGGGGCACATCAGAGTGTATTGTCGCTAAAGGGTTAACAGCTAGAATGCATACCGTAAACTGGGGTGACTAAGGTGGTCAAAGTCACCCAATTTTCAAAGTCACCCCAGTTTACAGTAGGTCTGATTACCCAATTGAGTGGCAGCACTATCCCCCTGATGAGTAAAATTGTCTGGCATTAGACAGAGTAAAATAATAAAGTAGGGCACACGGGGGTGCATTGCCGCTTAAGGGTAAGTTAATTAAGCATAGATATCTATGGGGTTAAGGCACTAATGTTCTCTTTTGCACAAGTACCGTAATATTGTGTTACATTATGTATGCAGACTAGAGTAAAATCATTTGGCAGAGTAAAACTATCTGGCATTTGACAGAATAAAGTAACAAAAGAGAACATATTGTGCCTTAATATGTTACTAGAAGAATAAACATAATACCTTCATAGGTCTTTACAATCGACTTTAGCAGCTCAATGTTCCCCAACACAAAACCGCTACCTGGTTTGAAGTGGTTACGATAGTCTCGTAATGTTCTTTCATGGGGCAAATAAAGAATACCATCTGGATTCTGTTCACTCTTTCTCAATTCATTGTACACGGATGATGACTTTGCATGTATTGAGAGGCAGAACTCGATAAAATGCGGATGCCATCTTTGACTATACTTGTTTGTCATCATTGCCTTCTGTTGCTGTTCGAATACTAGTCTCATGTGCGGGGTAGTTTGCAAATTGGTTTGGTCTAAGATTGATAGAAATGATTTGCTCATCTCATCATCAATCCTTACACCATGGGAGCTGATCTCTTCTTCCATTCTTTTAATTCGCTCTTCAAGCTGTGTGCATTTCAGTTCGGCCTCTTTCAATTTCAGTCTTTCGTCTTTTACTGTTGCCTGTAGTTTAGCGGACGAACATTTGCTTAGTGGTGCTTTACGTTTTGCAGGAGAGACAGGAGTCACAGGACCATATACAGTTGTATGAACCACAGGATTAGCTTCCTTTTTCATTTTCTCATCAATTTTACAACAAGGTCTACACTTATTAGTTCCTTGTTCAACAAGTACCTCACACTTTAAAGATCTTCTTACTTGGCAGTAATTCACTGGAGATTGTTGCTTCGCGGCAACTAACGGGATAACATGCAAAAAGGTTTCATCGGAAACGCGTTGTTCCGGCTCGACGGAAATAAGGGAAATTCCACAGCAGATCTCAAGACCACACAACAGATCGTGCAAGTCCTTGTATTTACATAATAGGCGCGAGATACCCGTTGGAAATAATGCAGATGTGTCAGGCACTGTAGCTCCATAAACAGACACAGTTACTTCTAAAGTTTCTTCGATTTGTATGTAATATTTTGGGATAAGATATCCTTGCTCGCGCATTTCAACGATTATGTTGGTGTCCGAAACGTTCACAGTCCAGCCATGCAAGTACAAATACTCGCGTTTAAAATACGTTTTCAAATCGTCGAATGATGGAGTTTTATCGGCACGAGACGCCGAAGCTGTACTTGTAGATGGCGCATCATGACGAACAATAGTCCTTCTTTGCTGTGGTGTTGAAGATCCAGGCAGACTATCCAATGTTTTCACTGGCAAATTTAATGTGGGAACAGATCCAGTCTGAAGCCTTTTTCGTATTTTCTCATCACCGTGTGCATCAGTGAAGGGAAATGATTCGATGCAATCTTGCTCAAAGTGAACTTCACAAAGGAAAATATTGTGCTTCACAAACCTTTCCTTTAGATCACTTGTTTCTTGTCTTGTACGAAGAATGGCAGTCTTCCAAGCTTCTCTAGCCTCGAGTTTAAGCAGTGATGTGTGCTCGGAGTCCGACGACTTTGGAAAAGGTATTCGAAATAAACTTATCCCCTCGTATCGTCTACTGTGTGGACAATTGAGGAAAGCGCAGTTTTGCGGCATGATATATTCACGACTGTCATAACGCGAATATAAATTAGCGAATAAATGAATATTTGTGAATGAATCCATCGCATATCGTGTTTCACCTCTATGGTTTCACATAGCACAATGGGTCTTTGTGTCGCTTTACGATCACGTGATTTTTTTAACCGGAAGTTTCAACATAATTGTGACGCGCAGAGAATTTAATAGGGAGTTTCCTATCCTTCTTATTCCACTATCTATGCTCAAACTTGTAAGTAGTTTTTAACTGCCAGGCAGACAAGAAAACTTAAAGCGTAGTACTGTACCATGCATTTAAACATAATCTTAAAGCTATTATTATGATATTATTTTTATTAGTGTCTCGTTATCCGTGAAATGTGAAATTGCTTTTTTATAGCACGTGAATTGTGAAACGTTTTTTTTTGTGAAACGTGAACCATACACCCCCCCCCCTTTCCCACCCTCATTAATCGATGTCGTATTTACAGAAGTGTGGGACTTTCAGTGTTAAGATTGAGGTTTTTAGGGATACCATTAAGGTAATTTGGGGATAATTGAATTAATGAAGTCAAAGTTGTCAGAACCAGTGGTCAGAACTGGTTTGTATCGGTTTGTATTTTGCATGTATACTTCCGGTATTGTTAACCAAGGCAGAACCGAAACACTCAACAGAAAAAAAAAACTCAGAGAAACTGAATTTTTCTTTCAATATAGAGTATTGCTAATTTAGAATATTTTTGTGCTCGATATTTTTTTTTTGCTGGTATTAGTGATGTTCGATTTTTTC